TTCTTCATTACCCATTCAAGCCGTCTCCAGCCATTATTAGTCTCAAAGTGGGTTCCTCGTCATCGAAATTGAAATAATTAAAACTTGTTAATTTAAAAAGGGGAATGGGAATCATCAAAAAAGAACATAAACAAATTGTATCATAATGTAAATATTTTATGTTTAAGCCTACATCTAGAGACTCAAAAGAAAGGTATGAAAATAGGCTGAAAATAATGTCTACCTTATTTCCTCAAGCTACAAATCCCTATTTTGACTGCACTAACATGGAGTTAAAATATGGATTTGTAGCTTAAGAATATAATGGAAAGAGTGTTTCCAGCTTAGTTTGTTAACTTTTTTTAGATTCCCTAGTTGAAATATAAGCTTTGCATTTTGATTCAACTAATTTCTGTACTCTTTTTGACGATCCCTATTCCCCTTCTTAAATTAACACTTTTTAATTAACTTGTTTTATATTGTTACGACAGCGGAAGTCACGCGACACTGGGAGCATGGGCGCTGGAGTTTCTAGAAGGACCGTGACTTAGCGGGCAACCTCACGAATGCCCCAGAGTTTGCTAGACACCGTCTTTTTTAGTATATAAGCCGGAGAAAGATTGAAGAATAATAATCGAGCCAAGCGAGCAGTAGGTACCGTAAGTAAAGTGTGTGAATCACTGTGCATTATAGCGTCTGTTTATAAAAGCAGTTAAGTTTAAAATGACTGTGGAAATTAAGTGTATTACAAAGTTTGTAACCAGAAAGAATAAACTAGTTTTAATTAAGAAAGAACTCGTATCGCTGAAGTTTCTCGAAAACAATTTCTACGGAAAATTACAAACAAGCAGTTACGTAACAATATTAAGACTTATTGAACCTACGCGTTTTTCTGACATCATGAATTTTTTTCTTATGCTATAGCAAAATTTGGTCACAGTTCTGTTAAAAAGAAGGTTTCATCGTAAAAAACAACAACAACAACAACTTTGTTTTCCTATTCTTATGATTAGTTACTTTGGTCTACAACACACAATATGTATATAATGTATGCAAATATCGAATTTAAGCAACTATCAGTTCTCAACCTACAGCCCCCCAATTACACAGCGGTATGTCTGCGGACTTACAACGCTAGAATCTGGGTTTCGATACTCGTATTGAGCAGAGCACAGATAGCCCATTGTGTAACTTTGTGCTTAACTTCAAACAAACAACTCAACCTACAGGCCAGGTAGTTAGGGCGCTAGACTCGCAATCTGAGAGTCGCGGGTTCGAATCTTCATCTCACCAAATATTCTCGCCCTTTCAACCGTGGGGCCGTTATATGTTACAGTCAATCCCACTATTCGTTGATAAAAGAGTAGCCCAAGAGTTGGCGGTGGTTGGTGATGACTAGCTACCTTCTCTTCAAAACATACAAAAAAATCTCAACCTATGTAATAAATATAGTACATTTGTTGTGTTTGTGTGTTTGTTTTTAATTATGCACAAAGCTACACAAGGGCTATCTGTGCTCTGCCCACCACGGGTATCGAAACCCGGTTTCTAGCGTTGTAAGTCCGCAGACATACCGCTGTACCACTGGGGGCGCGTTTGTTGTGATTATTCTGTTGTTTTGTTTATCATGTTATTAATATTTTTTCAATTTTATTCAAGGAAAAGTCCATTATGTGATGTGTTTACATCGTAAACATCGGAATTCTGGTACTTTCTTGCACAAAGGACTCGAAAAAAAATATTAGCTCTTTGTGCTACAAGGTTCAAAGCACAGAAAATATACAGCCAACTTCTCTAAGATAATTTCAATCAAATTCTGTCAAAAACGAGTGAGCTTTTTATTCTGAAAGAATCAAAAGAGAATTTTTGTTTTGTTTTAGAACTTCGCAAAAACCTTCATAGAATTTATCTCTGCATAGTCGCCTCTAATTTTGAACTGTCAGGCTAGAGGTGTAGCATTCATTGCTAACTTTTGATGCAGTTTTATCTAACCGATTAATAAGATTTCATAGTCACTCACATAGCGCACTTGTCCATTCTTGTGACAACGGGAATCTTCGGATTCATATACAGGGTACCATAACTTCAAAACTTCGCGCCGAACAAGTGAGAAATTAACAATTTCTTTGTTTTTCACCAATTTGTTGTAGATTTGTTTAGAAGGGTTTTTTCTCTATTTTGCTCAACACATGTGGATATCTTTTAAAGGTACTTATCTCTCTCTCTCACTCTGTTGCTCTCCAGTGGTTCAGCGTAAAATCAGGATTCGATACATGTGGTGGGAGGAATACAGATAGTCCATTATGTAGGCTTGTACTTAAAAAAACAACAACAAGTCTCTCTCTCTCTCTTCTTGTTGAAAAACCATTTGAATCCGCATGTATCATACAGTTGTGGCCTTTATATCAAGGCCTTCAAGATAAGCCAGTGATAGTAAGATAAACAAACTCGAGATAAAATAGTTTATTGGAACCTTTCTTTTAAAACAAATTGTTAATCGGTTTTTTTTTTATGATAATTCAACGTAGTTAAATAAGAAAAAGAGCTTTGTACGTTTTAAAAGTGAACGCATTTTAAAATCTGATCTGTAAAGTTTGTAATGATAATATAAATTGAATTGATTTAAGACCAAAAACTTGTGTTATTTTTAAAGCATTATATCATAAGAATAAGCTATATCTCTAAAATACCGACTAATATGATGATCAGTCTAAAATTTATATAATTTAAATCTTGCAAAAATATTTACTGATATTTTGATCCTGGGGAATATATCTAAGTTGTATGTTCATATGGGTTTCAATTAATAATGTTACGACAATAGAGTAACACAGCGGAAGTCACGTGACGCTGGCTAACGTTATGAGTTTCTAGAAGGATCATGACTTTTCCTGGCAACTCTAGTCTTTTCTAGGCGCCCTCTATTTTAGTATATAAGCCCGGCAAATAAAGCGGAGATAATAATTGCATATAGACAGATAATTGTGTCAAGTGAGCGGTAGTGACCATAAGTAAAGTGCATGAATCGTTGTGAATTATAGCGTGTGTTTAAGTTAAAATGACTGTGGAAATTCTGTGTGTTGCAAAGTTGTATTGAAAGAGAATAAACTAGTTTTATTTAAGAAAGGACTTGTGTCGCTGAAGTTCCTCGGGAAGAATTTATACCAGAAATTAAGAAACGACCAGATACGCAACAATAATAAAAAATGAGTGTTCTTTAGATTAAATAAATTTTTATACTTATAAACACATGAGGTTGATATTTCGTAAATTAAACTTAAAAACAAAACGTTTGGAAGAGATGAGTAGAAGTATCACAGAGTAGTCAAGCAATAAAATAATAAATCATTCCATAACCCAAATCATCGTAAGTAATAACGAAGAAATTAGAGGGAAAATCTAACTGGGTGAATGGTTTAACATTTGAAAATTTTGATCCCTTTCCAGCTTGAGCTGTGTAAAATAAATATTATACAATAATATAAAATCCGCTCGAGGGAGCTGCAAACGATACGTAGTTGTTCATGGCATGTGTACCAAATGTGAGAAAAGTGTGATTTGTTGCCCTGTTAATATTATTTGTTTTCATGAATGAAGGTATAATTCAATGTTTAATTTATACTTTAGTCACTTAAATTTGTTCAGATTGAAATAACAACTGACATATAATGGTAAACCAGAAAAGGTTGTTTATCGGAGGTATATCTCCAACTGTTCAAGAAAATGATATTAAAGAAAAGTTTTCAAGATTTGGGGAAATCTGTGGTGTGGAAATTCGCGAAAAAACTTATGAAAATAGTAACGTCACAAGATTTGCATATGTAGATCTTAAAATTTCTGATGATTGTTTGGCCAAATGTAAGTATATTTAGATAATGTATTATGTGTAATATTAATTGGTTGATATATATTGGAACTAATGAAGTCGTTGAACTTTGAAGACATTATCTTCAACAAGTTCAAGTTGAAACACTTGGAAGTTGGAAATTAAAAGGGTCATCTTGTTCTTTGTAATAATTAATTTTAATATTTTGTGAATGAACTTATTAGTGAATTATTAACAAACAGGGAAATTTTGGTCATGTGAAAAAAAAAACTTCTGGTATTATTATTACTTTTGATAAAACATTGGAGGCTTCATCTGGTTAACAGTGGTAACTTCAAGATTAAAATTTTTGTATATGAGATATGTTAAATAAATATGAAACACTACATTCAATTTTGGTAATAGTTTCCAAAAAAGGGTTTCAAAATGATGATTGTATTAGAAGTTTCAGAGAATACAACAAACATAAGAAGTAAAGCATTGCTGTTTATGTATATACACACCTGGTAATAAAAGGAATGAAGTATGTGAGAAGAAATGGTAAGCTCATGTAGTGCAGGTTTCATTTATAATCAGCTATTAAACTAAAGTGTTTTTTATGCTTTACTTCACATTGTAGAAACTATATATAGGTATTTGTATATCTTGTGTTTCTTGAACTCATGGTTATTAATTTTTTTTTACAGGTATCAGTGTTTATAATCAGACGAGCTGGAAGGGGCAAAAAATTTTGATACAGTTAGCTAAAGAAAGTTTTTTACAGAGGTAGGTGCATTTTCACATCCACATGCTTTTAGTTTTACAAATATCTCAACTTTTAATAAGAATTTTAAAGAATTTACTACTTTCTGCTTGTTTTACTTTTCTGTGAGTTAGAGAGGATGGGATTGAGGTGTATAAGATTGCTAATGGAGTTGGTAGTGTTACAACTACACAAATAGGGTACACAAATTTATGTTTTGGCAGAGTAGGAGTCATCTTCAGCTAAACAACGTCATTTTTCTAACATGGTTGTTGGTCTCTGGAATGGGTTGCCTTCAGATGTGTTTGATACAGTTAATTTAAGGGAAGGCTTGATAAATATTTGAATGATAAGGGCTGACTTTGAGATTTTCATTGTTTAGTTTTATTTAGCAGATAGGGCAGTCTAGATGGACCGAAAGGTCTCTTGTTCACCTTTAATGTTATACTGAAAAACTACTGGTTGACCAATAGAAAAATTGTCTTATATAGGTTGAATGCACTAGGAAGGCATCCAAACTAGATCAGCTCACTTCTATGCTAGATAGGAGTTGTAGAAGGTTTGTAATTTTGTGGTCAAATTCAGCCTTCTCGTAGGATAAATTGCTTTAAAATCTAGTATTTTGTTTCATTATTTAGTACTAGTTCAAAGCTGTTTTATAGAATTGCTGAAAGATTATCTGCATGGAATCATTAAATATTTTTTATCATTTTGCTATTGAACACACAGACTCAGGAAAAATTAAAACATACTTTCCCATATGATATCTTACTTCCTTTCACAAAATAGCTTTACTCAATTAGTACTGTCCCCCTATCAGAGCAAATTTTCAGTGCTCCCGCTAGCCTTCCACCTCCCGCTTCTGCATATACACATGTAAATGATTATGCAGCAGCTCTCCACCAATAGGAGCATGACACAACCTTCATGATTACCAGGTTCTTTCAGGGGATCTGACCCTTCATTTCCACCCCCCCCCTTACACACACACCAAAAAAAAGGATCCTGTTTCTTGCCGGCATCTACAGGAGATGGTTCAGACAGGACTTACTTCAGAAAGAGGCCACAGAACCTTCTCATCCAGGGTTTTACCCCCATCTGTTCATCATACCCAAAAAGACGAGAGAGATTGGCGACCTATTACAGATTTATCGTACCTGAACCATTTCCTGGTCATACCCAAATTCATGATGGAGTCTTACTTAACTCTTCAGTGGGTTGTTACTCCCAGGTATGATGAAGGTCAACATGTTGGATGCCTATCTACACATTCCAATCTCCCAGGCATTCCAAGATTTCTTCCATTTTGTTTATCAGTTTCGGGCTGTACTATTTGGCCTGGCCTCGGCTCCTTATGCCTTCTGCTGAGTTGTCTGGTCATTTGCTCAACTGCTTAATGCCAGAGGCCTTAATTTCCATTATCTTGTGGATGACTGGTTACTTTTGGCTTACTTTCTGGTTAAATCTGCTGTTCACACTCAGTTTCTTCTTTGAGACTGCCAGAGTGGTTTGGCTCATCAAAGTGGAGGAGTCATTCCTCACACCTACACAATATCTGATTCATCTGGGTACTACATATATATATATATATATATATATATATTAATACGGCATATTTCTACAACCAAAACCTGTTGGCATCTGGAATTGTACATCTGGTCTGCAATAGGAAGAGCCTCAATGCCATGGAGCATCATAGGTGGGCAGCAATCCCTGCCTGCTTTACTCGTGTCCATGAGTGTTTGTTCTGGAAGTTGGTGATCTTCTGCCTACCACAGAACTGATGTACAATTCCAGATGCCCCCAGGTGTTGGATGAGGTTGAACTACCACTACGGTCTGTCACGCCCTAGCCACTTTACACCTAGGGGACCCATTAATAGGTGATACATATTATGGGATTAATAATGCTTGGAGACGGCTTGAATGGGTAATGAAGAAAAACTTTAATATAAGTTTAACATAACAGCAAATGTCCATCGATTATGGGATTCCTTCATGTTTTTCTGCCTTTTATGTTTGTAGAACAATCATAAAAGAGCAAAGAGTATACTTGCAGCAGTTGTGGTGTGGTCTCCCACTGTGGTGTGATATTTTCTTTTTTGGTACAACATCTCATGGTCTCTCTTTGGGTGCTTCCTAAAGGGGTATCGTTTTTTTCACTGGGCCCCCCACCAGTTCAATGTGGGATTCTAGCTATTTTATGAGAGGAGGTAAGATATCATGTCAAAAGCTAACATTTTTCTAAACTGAAAATGTATTTTGATAGATACTTATCTCCTCTCACATTTCCCATCCAACCTCCCCACTTCTAGTGATATGTGGTGTAGGTGCTATGACCAATCTCGAAGTGATTAACAAGTGTAAATGTGGAGATGGTACTGGTTACAATAGGGGTTGTGTTATGCTCTCACATTTCCCATCCAGCCTCCCCACTTCCAGTGATATGTGGTGTTGGTGCTATGACCAATCTCGAAGTGATTAACAAGTGTAAATGTGGAGAGGGTACTGGTTACAATAGGGGTTGTGTTGTGCGCTTATTGGTGGAGCACTGTGCATAATATTTTACATGTGGATATGCAGAAGCTGGAGGTGAAAGGCTTGTGGCAAGCTTTGAAAATTTGCACCAATAGAGGGCAGTGCTAATCAAGAAAAGCTATTTTGTGATAGAGGTAAGTATCTATTGGAAATATATTTTCAGTTTAGGAAAATGTTAACTTATACAAAATTAATGTAGTTTTTTGATTGATATTAACATAATTTTTTTTTAGGCTGCAACGTGAAAGGGAAGAACAAGATTCCAAAAGTAATCATAAGCATTCCTCTGAAAAACAGCCAGAAGTTTTCCAGTCACAAACTCAGTTCCAACATCATAAGGAAACAGTATCTTTTGTTTAGTTTCAATTTAACCGTTAATTTGAACTCAAAATTAAAAAATCCTCAGTTTCAAAGATAAAAATATTTGTGAGAGGACAGCGTTCTGATGGCTTGAAATGATTGAAAACAGTAATAATCTGAAACACAAAATTATTAAAGCAGTCTAAATCTAAGTTATATTGGTTGTGATTGTAACTCGTAATAATAAGTAAAGAATATATTCAGTTAAAGGTACACTAGTTTTGATAAGTTGATTATTTTCATGAGCTATAACACTAATCAGTTATACTGATTTGATATAACCTTGTTTTAATTGAATATGAAAACCTCAAAATCTAACTGTATTATTTGTTTCATATTTTAGAAAATCTGTAGTTGAAATGCTACACATCCATCAATACAATGTCACTGGCAACTCAATTTTGTCAGGAATTTCAATGTATATACAGCATTTTGCTTCTGATCTTGTCATATGTGTGTGTATTCATCCAATTTATGGTTTTAACATTTAATCATCAAGAATTCATAGCACATCATGTTGAATATTCCATATATCAACTGACAAAGAAAATGTTTACATTACTGCTACTGCAAACTAAAATAATGTTTAATGTGTAACAGTTTAAAGCTTTTTGTGATTTTGGCTATGATATATATATTCTTGCTAGAGCTGGCAGTCAAACTTTACCGGGCTCTTACTGTAAACAAAATCAATGTAATAGTATCGTTGCATTAACTTAAATGTGTGTGTGTTACTAAGGATTTCAGAATTAACTGTAAAATTGAGATAGGCAATTGGATCACACTGTGACAACTGAAGTTAAGAAACAGTGATTGGCTAAAATTGATAAAACTACACTTGTACTGAAGCTACAAGGTTCAAATTAGCACTATTTTTACTTTTTTGACTCTGAGTGTCATGTGAAGGTTGCAAAAAAAACAGGAAATTTCAACTACTAATGTTTATGTTTCAAATGTACTGAAACCAACCCAATGTCAAAATGTATGATTTATTTTCATGTAAAACTTTTTTATGGAATAAATTTTAAGTTTGAAGTATATTTTTAATTTAGTGGTGCTGTTTTGATCTTGGGGATAGGATGCACCCTTCTGGGCACCATAGAGTTAAAGGGATAGGTATATTTTTGTATATAGTTTTTGATTTCAGGTGTATGAAATATGCATTTTTAAATGTACACGTGTATGTGTGAGTCTTCTGCAGTTAAGAAATTTCAGTAATTTGTGTGGTTCCCTTTTAATCTACCTGGAGTGTTTTTCTAACAATATACCAAATACTGCAAAAAACAAATTACTTGTCCATCAGGCAAAGTATAATGGCAAATATAGGTGTCTGTCTGGCAAATCTTGTTGTCCCTGGCTTTGGGATAATTTGAATTTCACACCTATATTTAAAGTAATATTCATATAACTGTCTTACACAAAAGTTATTTGCATACATTCTTACTAACATGCTCTGCATATTGTAATTATGGTGTGTATATTTGTTAGTTAAGTACCGAATTATTAAAAAAATTGTCTTTAAAATATCATTATTTCTTTTTACTCATAGAATTATTCTACTTAGTTGTAGTAGCATTAAATTAGAGAGAAAAAATGTTTGGATTTCTTTTTTCTTAATGTTTATTTGCAGACTAATAGAAATAAAATTTACTTTAATGATGAGGAAGATAAACAACCTGCTGTGAAGTCTTTGTGTTGGTCAACAAGCAAGAACAACAGTGGTCAGGTTTTTGAGGACAAAAGTAAAAGGGAAGCTGGAGATAAAATTAAGAAAGGGAATTCTTGTAAAGAAAAAAGTCATGTTACTAAGAGAAGCCATGACCAAAAAGGTATGCTTTGTACTGAGTTAATTAACCATTCATCCGATGAAGAAAGCCGGCCTGGGAATCTGCCAAAGTTTGGTGGAACTGGATCTGTGATAAAGAAGAAGAATGCTCTTTCAGAATTATATGGAACTAATCCAAGCAAAAAATTATCTAGTAGTTCTGACAGTTCTACTGATTCTGCTGACACTGATGAAATAATCAGTCATCACAAACCCATTGACAATACAAGAAAATTAACCTATGTACAGCCATCAGCCACTAAGGAAACAGCAAGGTATACTCTGGCAGACAAAAAATCAAAATCTGGCTTGCTAGATTTAAAACAAGCTACCTTGGACTTGTTTTCTGTTGATGATGATGGTGATCAGTTTTTTACAACTGATCATTACAATTTTGTTTCCAAAAAGCCTAAGACTTTTAACAAAATCACACCAATAGAAAAAACACCCAAAGTAACTGTGAAGAATGGACCTGATTTAAACACAGTTTTTAATAAAAGGAACCACAAAACACGAGGAGAGTTGGCCAAAAGTCAGGTTTTGAATGAAAATGGAACTGATGTCAAAAAATTTCGATCAAAATCAAACTTTTCAGGAAGTCAGGAGTTTAATTCTGAAAGGACTGATTTCCATGAATCCTGGAATAAGCATCAGACAGACAATGAGAAACGACTCATTTCCCTAGAAAATTGGAAGAAACAAAACAAGGCTCAACAGATGGCAATAAAAGCTGCACTATACAGTGTGGTAAGGATATCCAATATTGTGATTGTAAGCCTAGATTGCATAGACTCCCATTAAACTCAATACTATAAATCTAATGGAATCCATTATTATATTTTCTCAAAACAAAGCCCACAAAATTTTAATATTTTTTTTATACCTGCTTCTGGATTAAAACTTTGAAGTCACAGTAATAAATTTTGAGGTTACTATCTTTTTGCTGAAATTAAAAGCAATGTTAAATAATGATAGAACCACATTCAGAATGTTTCTTAACAAGAAGTAGGATTTGATTTGAAATATATGTGATGATAATTCCATATATTATTAGATAATTGCTTCTATAGCATTAAATGTATACTTGTCTTTTATTTATCTAAAGTACTTTAGTATTTTGTTTTCCAAGTAATTTTCTAAAAGTCTTCTATTTCAAATTCAGGTTCCTTGTTGCATTGTTGATTGTTTTATGGAAATCTGACAGAATATGAATTTACTGGTACAGTTGAAGTATAAAGAAAACAATTAAATTTGCAGCCACATCTTCAGTAATGTTTACAAAACTTTTAATTTTGACCCAATACTTGTTTACTTTCTTAAAGAAAATTATCAACTACATTGCAATGCCACACTACTTGATAAAATGAGTGAGAAGACAGTGATGAGATGAAGTTTTCTAATACAGTAATTCCGTTCAAAACTTTAAGTTACACTTACTTATACTGAGAGTTTCTTGTACAAGCATAGTTTCATGTCAGTAAGTAAATGTCGATGCTTTCTCTCATTTTATTTCATTATCATGATAAAAGAAAAAAAAACATAACTAGAGCAAGGATGAATAATTAGTGACTGGTTATAAGACAACAAATGATCTTATTTCTGAAATCACCAGTTAATAATTAGTCTATACTACACCCCTCTACTGTTTTCAGTTTTACTAAAATCTGATTAATTAGTAATGTCACATAGTATATTTAACATACTTCCCCATGCCTACATATAAATCTTAAAGTTTAACATTTCTTTGAAGATTTTGATCTTAATTTAAGAATCAATAATAAATCAGTAAGATTTACAAATTGATGGAAATGTGGTACACGCTGTGTACCTAGTTCTCAGTTTGCATTTTTTTCCAATTGGTCAAGTTTAGTACTACTGAAGATGTTTATTCACCCTATCATTGCATTTGTTGACTTGCATTCAAAATTTTATTGAACTACTATTTTATGAATTTATGTTAATAAGTTTGGTATCAAATTGTAGATTATAATTCAAATTTTAGTATTATACATTAATTAATTTTTTAATTTAAAAGTAAATATTAAAAGAACTCACCTAAATATTGATTTTTGTATGTCACATGGTATGTTGAATGCAGCATTGGTTCAAATTATGTTTGTGATGTACAAATACAAAGTCTAAAGTTTCTTACAAATTAGGAAGAATTAGGAACTCAAATTACCGATAATGACAAGCTAGAAATAAAATAAGAACCTCATATCTTTTCTATATGTTTTTTATACCTATCACCCCACTTCTCCTTCTAGGCATGTACCTAGTTTCTGAAACTCATTTCTTTTCCTGATAACAGCTCATCAAAATTTGTTTTGAATACTGGAAAAGTTTCTGATGTTGTTTGTAAACTAGGCCTAAATTAATCAGCTTGTTTTCACTGTGCTCACCTGCAAGATTCTGCTCTGATGACATGCTTGCATCAATGTTGCCTGGCTTTCAAAAGTAAAAGATACTTCATAATCACATAAAGAGCTCTTGCCCAATTATGTCAAAGATTCAGACTAGGGGGTAGAATAATACAATTTATGGCACGATTATTATGAAAATTCAACTCTACTAAATAGCCTGACTACTTTGAAAAAGATATGTAATGTGGCAGTCACAAGTGAATGCTTTTTCTTTCACTTGGCTCTCTCCTTTATCTCAAGAACTGGAGAATGGGTCAAAAGTTTAACGAAAAGATCTTTTCTTTGAAAGGTTTGTAGTTAATTTTTGGAGACAATTTACTTGAGATTAGGCTAACTTATTATCTATTCTTTGCCACTGAAGTGAAGCACAGAAAGTATAACTAATTTTTGAAGGGTGTGAAAGTTCTATCACTTTTACAAGTACTATCACTCAGGAATGGTTTTTAAGCAGTTAAATGTTTATATAAATTTATTTTATTTAGAAATTTGGTAAGCACAAATGCCTGTTTGTATAGTACAATAAATGCAGTGTCTGAAATTGAGTCCTTCTCCACTTGTTTATTTCAAAATTTGAAATTGTAACTTTTTTTTAGAAATTTAAACTGAAATAATTAAGTCCAAAGTTTAGTTTTTATTTATACTTGTTAGTAAAAAAATGTTTTACCGAGTTTAATAATTTAGAAAAAAAAAAGTCATTTACAGTAAAAAAAAAATATAAACCAAATTCTATTCCATACAGGATTCAGAAAAAAGTTTGAATAAGAAAATAGTTTTTGATTCTGAAGAAGAGTCAACTTATGATGAAAAAAAAGATTGTTTAGAAGACCATAAAGTTCAGAATAACTTCAGAAAGCAGTTTCAACAGAAATCCCACGATAGGAGAAAACTGACATTATTTGATGGCAGTGGGGAAGATGAAGAAGGCAGTGATGAGATAGATAAATCCAAGGAAATGTTCCGAATAAGATCTCAGTTTGAAGGTTCAAAAGGAAAAAGGGTATATCAAAAAATGATTTTGATTTTTGAGCACCATTTTCAAACCTATATTTTAAATATTTGTTATTGTAACTGTAAAATTAAGGTTTTGATAAGTTTCTAAGATGTAATGTAAGAATGTGAAATGGTGAGAAGATATTTTTAAAACAGACATGCTCCTATCAAGATGTATAGAATGACATTTAAGTTTTTCAAAACTAAACAAATCATATGTTTCCTAAAACATTGATGTTGTTATAATGAACTTTCCAAAATATTGAAGTAAATTTGTTTATTTTCAGCTACTGAACCGTCAGAATTGGTTTGGGCATGATGAACGATTTCGAATGGATGAAAAGTTTCTTGAGAGTGATGGAGAAAGTGATAAGTCAGAATCTGGTAACTTGCATTGGTTCATTGAATTATTAAATATGAGGATGTCTGAGGTGTTTGATGTTTAGAATCCTGTATTCTGTTGAAAAATCAATCTCATTTAGATGGAGTAATGATATACAGGGAGTGTTCAGAAAAAATTATATTTTCTTTCCCATTTATTTGTTTTGAGTAATCTTTGACCATATCTTATTTCTCACCATGATAAGTAGAATACAAAACAATTAAAAAAAGTGATAGTTACTATGTCTATTGATTGACTTTGAACATTTTAAAAACCAATGAAGGAGGGTGAAAAGCATGATCACAGTTTTAAATGGGAATTCTTCTCAGTAATGGTCTTTGTGGACATCACATGCATCTTAATGAATTTACATGATGAAGTTTGCAGAACAGTGGAGAAAATACTTACTATTTAACTACATGTGATGAGTAGTAATGTCTGTTTTCCTGCCTCTCTGGTGTTGTTGTTACATGAATATTTGGTTGTAAACTGACAGAAGTGGGAAAGTAAATCTCACTTTTGTCTTTTCATCTACACTATATGATTAGTTTTTACCATTAATCTCTTCTTCTCTTGTGTGTGTCACTAGGGTGCCTAGAATTTGTTTCATAGATCATTGGAGATCTATTAAATTTTATATTTTTCACCAGAGGGTGCTGTAAGCAGGAAATTTTTTTAACATAATGTGACCTCTTCTGAGACAATAACTCATCTCCTCACACAGTTTATCTACCTTCCTCATGCACATGCCTAAAAGATTTGCATACCACTAGCCTTGAGCCAACTCCCACCTAATTTCACATGAATTAATGTGAATTGCACTTCTCAGCATTGTACTGAACAGACGTGTTTAAATTTCTCATTTGAGTTCAATCAGTTGAGATTTGCATTGTTAACATATACCTCAATTTTAATTTTCTTTGGCTTTTGTTCCAAAAGCTTTAATTTTTAATCGTGAATTCTTGAATGATAGTGACTTATACCTGGTTCTGTGTGAGTGACGTTGTTCATACATGGTCTTGATTTATACTATGACTTCTGGAGGCTCATTAACTGTCAGGAACATAACAGCTGTTGTTCATTGTGTTGTGGATTACCACATACTTCCTAGGCCTCTTTCTCCCGTCCAGTCAGCCGAACTTCTTCTCAGTTGGGAATGATGTATTGGACTACAACTTTAACCTGATTTGCTTTGGTTAGTACCTTACCATTAGAGAAAAATCCTTAACCTTCCAATCTTTTTTTGAATTTTATTCTCAGGTATGTTCATTTCTTTATCTTTTGCCTGTGTTCTTTATTATTTCATGTTTTTCACTCTGTGATACACAATTCTTGGGGTTTACCTTTTCTTTCCTCCTTGTTAGTTATTAGGATATTTTCTGTTTCCTTTCTCTAATAGCTCTTCTCTCACATCCAAATGCCTCTTTCCACTTGTATTCGTGATACTTCTTATCTTGACTTGTAGACTTTCTTTCCTTTTTTCAATTCTATGTCCTTGTTATCTATTTGGCCAGCCTGAGGATTGGGCCCCTTTACCTTCTATTCCTGTTTTTGGTTTCCCATTTTCGTCTTTTTCATCACTACCCTCCTTTGGACACAGGACAAGTGTTCACTCCACATCAGTGCTCTTCATCAGGTATGTTCCCATTTCTGGCCCGACTGGTGGATCATTCGGTTATGTTCCACTAAGTCACTTCCATGGTAAGTTCCTCCATAATTCATCCGAGAGGACACTTTACTTTTGGGGATTAGACGTGCAATTTTGGGCTCATTCACATTAGGTTTGTTTTATTGCCTGCCATTTTCTGGGAGCTCAGAACATGATCATGTGCCGCCTCTCTCGGCGGTTCTGCATTCTACTATCCAAGTGGTCTGTACACTTCTAGGTCTTAGTTGGGCATGCCTTTCTCAACTCCAGGCTTTCTCTCTTCTGATCTAGTTGGCTGGTTGCTACCAGGGTATACGTACCTAAAATCTGCATTGAGTGAGGATAACAGAAAGTGCTCACACTATCTGCCCTGATTCTACCAGTGCCCACTGATGAGATGGGGTGTTTTGAAAGACCACCTGAGGTATGTATATATAGATACACACACTCAGTTGTTCTATCCAGACTGTACCTATTCCATAGATTATCATAGAGAAATCCAACACCAGGGAAGCACTCTGCCCAATTCTTTTGCTCATGCTTGCTAGCTTTTAAAAATAAGGTTTTGGGGTAACTCATTGCACATATTCAGTAAAATACCTTTTCAGCTAGAGGTCTGATTGGAATCTAGGCACTTTTATTGGTCTTCCCAATGCAAATTCTCTTTCTCTTCAATGAGTGGAGCATAGGAGACCCTTGCAACTTACCAGTTCCTAGCCAATGTGTGGTAAACCTTGGAGAATCTGCACTGTTTAGGCTTAGCACAATACAGTAAGAAGTGGGGCAGTGGTGACATTGCCAGTATAGTGCAGGTCACTCTCTAAACATTAACTAGTACCACTTGTGCCCTTCTGGAGTCTGTCCCATAGAGTCTATTCAGTAATGTTGAAGTGAGAACACACTATATGAAGCAATAACACATAACTGTTGTGCCATCCTCCTGCAGAGTCTGTCTAGACTGTTTAGTTGAGGTGATCACATAAACTTTACGAAACCATCTTGCATACCTACAGTGCCCTCCTCCTGCAGCTGAAATGCATCATGTAGAGTCTGTTCAGCAGAGTTAAAGTGAGACAAACTTTACAAAACCATAATGCATAACTACAGTACTCTCCTTCTGCAGCTGGAGTCTCTTATAGAGTTGAAGTGAGCATACACTATACAAAATTATACTACATCACTAATGTGCCCTTCTTCTGTAGTTGGAGTTTGTCGTGTAGAGGCTGTTCAGTAGAGTCAAGGTGAGTAAATACTATATGAAACCATACTGCATAACTAATGTATCCTCCTGCAGCTGGAGTCTGTCTCGTAGAGTCAGTCTGATCAATAGAATTGAGGTGAGCATACAAGGTATAGTCTGAACATGCCCTAACCACACTATACATATTGGCTCATGGACTGCTTGTGTGCAAGTGTTCAGCCAGTCATGTTCTCATTCTGCCTGTCCCTGCAACACATGGGGGCTCAGTTGCCTTTTCTCCCCTTATTTTTAAGGTGAGGAGTATACCCTGGTTTAGACAAGATGCGGTCTCCTATGGATGTGTCCTATAGACCCCCTGGCATTAGGTGCCACACTCCATGAGCTTTCCTTCGGACACTATGAAGGGAGCTCATCTAGATAAAAAATTTGCACCAGTCTCTCCACCAATTCAATGTTGGATTCTAACTAAACTGTGTGCGTAGGTGAATTATCATCTCAAAAGTTAACATTTTCCCCATCTTCTGGTGCACATTTCGTCTTGCCTTGTCAGAATGAACTTACCATGAGTGTAAGTGTATAAGGGGAATTTTTTGCATATAGAAACTGTGTCACTCTCCTATTGTTGGAGGACTTTTTTGGCATGATGACGTTGTCGTGAACGGTGCAATTCATGTTAATTCACAAGAAATTAGGTGAAGTTGCCTCAAGACTAGTGCCAAATCTTTCAATTAGATACACGAGGAAGAGGTGAGTATCTATCAGAAATATTTTTTCAGATTAGGAAAATGTTAACATCACATGTGTGGTTCATCAAAAGTTGTCCAATTAATATTCTTACATAAAAGTTTTCTGTTTGTATTTGGAAACTTGTAAGCTTCTCAATAGATGTGGAGAGTTTGAAAAAGTTCCTTAAATCTTTCAAGATAATAATATACAGTGAAGAAATAGATAAATCAAGTGTAAGTAGGTGTTTTCTCTGTCACTGCTAATTTGATTAGAAACTATGTTTGCTTGTTATAATCTAACAAGGTGAGCCAAAAACCTACAGATTTTTTTCTGAGCACATTTTATATAGCAAATGAGGAAAAGTTTGTAACTTATCATCAAAACAAATAGAAATAGTCTGTCTTATTTCTTCTTTACTCCAAACACTGAATTTTTCTACATCATACTAACCAAAACAAAAATGGTTGATTATCTGATTCCTTCTTCACTATTCTTCCTATTCATCTCTCATTCCAAGTTTTGGATGGTCATAGTTTTCTTTCTAAAGCGGTAGAGACTTTGGAAATATCTTTGATGTTAATAGCTCTTGAATATATAACACTAAACTAACAGTCAAATCTACAGTACTATATATATCATAATTAGGTAGGTGACTCAAGCCTTGTACTTTAACTAGGTGGTTGACTCAAGCCTGGTGCCATAACTAGGTGGTTTACTCAAGTCTGGTACCATAACTAGGTGGTTGACTCAAGTCTGGTACCATAACTAGGTGGTTAACTCAAGCCTGGTACCATAACTAGGTGGTTGACTCAAGTCTGATGCCATAACTAGGTGGTTGACTCAAGCCTTAATGCCATAACTAGGTGGTTGACTCAAGCCTGGTGCCATAACTAGGTGGTTGACTCAAGCCTGGTGCCATAACTAGGTGGTTGACTCAAGCCTGGTGCCATAACTAAGTGGTTTACTTAAGTCTGGTACCATAACTAGGTGGTTGACTCAAGTCTGGTACCATAACTAGGTGGTTGACTCAAGTCTGGTACCATAACTAGGTGGTTGACTCAAGCCTGGTACCATAACTAGGTGGTTAACTCAAGCCTGGTACCATAACTAGGTGGTTAACTCAAGCCTGGTACCATAACTAGGTGGTTAACTCAAGTCTGGTACCATAACGAGGTGGTTGATTCAAGTCTTGTATCATAACTAGGTGGCTGATTAGTCATGTTTCTGTGAAGACTGAAATAGTCATGCATTTCACTCTTCCATAACTAGTATAAAATGAATTTTTATTTGGGTATATTTAAGTAATATTCTTCCAGATTTCTGTTCAGTTTTCTATATATCACATTCTTGTTAAATGGATGTCGAAAGGACGTAAAGATATACTAGAAATTTGTATCACTTTGGTCCTGTGTCTAAGACCTTTATGAAGGGTATTTCAGATTCTTGTATAAATTAATTTAAATTAGAGATTTTCATCCTTATAAATGTTGTTTGGAATAGTTGGTGATATATGCAGCTTTGGATTCTGGTCTGGTTTACCATACTTTTATCAATTTCTCTGCAATTAGAATCTGTTTTTTTCATCATCCAATGTAGATGTTTCAAAGAGGCTTCTTTACAACCCCAGCAGCCAATTAAAGAAGACAGAGCTATAGGCTGGCCAGTCAGTGAAGTAAACTTGATGACACATTATTCACTGTCATTAAAGATTTTCTTTTTCACTTGCATTTCTTTTCTCTAAGTTTGATTTATTCTCTGTTTGAGCAGTCAGAATCTTCATTCTATACATACAAGATAAAAAGCTTTGTAAGTGTATTAAGGTTTAATAAGCAATGTATACCATTATTTTATACCTACAGATGGTAAAAAGTAAGTGTAATTTTATTGTAAATTTCTGTTTTTATTACTTACATCTAAATTTTTGATTATATTAATAATCTATTTCATCCAGATTTTTCAACTTTTACAGAACAAGAAGAGAAGGCTGAGTCAACACTGCCACAGGAAACCAGTGACGATTTTGTTGATGTAGAAGCAGAACGAAACCGTAATCTCAGCATCTTAGAAAGTGTTGTTGGTTTTGAAATTCCTAAAAAACTGACAAAAAACACAAAGAAGTGGATGTTCAAGTAAGTTTTTTAACCAAAATGAAGGTGGTAATATTGCAGTACCATTTCGTTTGGTAACACTGAAAACAAGTATCACTTTTGTCCTCAACAAGTGCATTGTTGTCTGAAAGCTTTTCTTGTAATTAATTCAGGAAAAATGGAAAGCAAATTAATTAATATTGTTATATAAGTGTTAAAGTATTTAATGTGGGCATTTGCTGTTCCAAAAAATAAAATTGTTAATGATATTTTATAACATTTTTGTTTAGTGAGGGAGACAATGCACGTTCCAAATAGTATTCATTTAAATACCAGGATATGCCGTTGGAGAGCATAGATCACCTATTTGTGGAACTTATGTATTGAATAAGGATTCAGATAAAGAATTCAAGTAATTCAACATAAAATAAGATATATAATTCACATCCTACATACCTGATCACATTAGTGGGGCTAATGCCTAGATGGCTCAGACTATTGCTACCAGATTTCTCCAGACTACTTGACTGGTCTGTGGGTGTCTGCTTTGGATATTCTGATAAAAAGCCATATATACATGTATAAAGGTATAATATAAATGGTAAACATATCATGCACATACTTATATCTTTTCAACCCAGCAGTTGGTGCTACATATCAATAGATAGACATGTGACAGTTTTTAAAGTTAAAGTATATACTTTATACAGGTATAACAGAAAAAGTAAACAAAGAAGAGTATTAAAAAATTATGAATTTTAAAATGAAGTAGGGATCCTGCTATAAAAGTAATGAAACAAGAATTAAAACCACAATCACAAATTTATAAAAGATTTTTCCCTACTTTGTTAGCTTTATACACTTATATGTAGATCAAATTAAGGATTCTCTTGTACTCCATCAGTAACTTGGTGGAGCACTATAATTAATTTATCAAGCTTTGACTTTACATGCATATCCTTCAATTTTAATAATAATAATAATTTTATACTCCTAATATACTGTAAGAATAAAATATTAGACCTGTGCAGAGGTCAGATATCTTAAGAAATTGATATAATTATAAGGTTTTATGGGAGTTCTAGGTTTGTTTGTAGTTCAATAATAATGTTGTGATCATGCTTTTTTCAGTACAAAACAAAAGGTTCTGCAAATGTTAAGCATTTTTTATGGTGTATTCTGTATCTCCTTCAGAGTCTTTTTCTTGTTCAGTAGAGTATTTTGCCCTCCATGGTTTCCAAAGTTGACAAGTCCATATCTACTCCTGTCTCTATCCTCACCACAATATCCAGTGATTGTTTGGACTCCTCTCCATTGGTATCGAGATGCTGGACCATCATTCATTCATGCACGTAGTCTCTTTCATCTGTCAAAGATCTGCCCAATCAACCCATCATCTTTGGGTGATGCAGTGGAACTGTTGAGGTTTCCATTCTAATTTAGATGACATTAAGGCCTTGATCGATTGTTATTATCCTGTGTGTGTGTGTCTCTCCTTATAAGAAACATTCCTTCGGCCTGCCAATGCTGTCACCCTTTTGGCAGTTTTTCTTGTATAGGAATGACAGGTTGTGTGATGGATCTCCCTTTTTTCCTGTTGGGAGACTTTAATGGACATAATTCCCTCTAGGGTGGAGATGATACTGATGGGAGGGGTTGTTCTGTGGAGCATGTGCTTTCAGATCACAACCTTTTTCTCTTCAATATTGGTTCATTTACCTATTTATACACACATAGTCAGTCTTTTACTGCTATTGATCTATCCATTTGTTCCCCCTTCACTTTTTTCTCATTTTTTTGGAGGGTGGACAATGACCAGCTGGTCAGATGTCAAAGCCAGAGGAAATCTTGGATTAAGTTCACTACCAGCATTTCATCTACCATCAGTTCCAAGGTTGTCTGAGTCAGGATTTGGAAGATCAGTGGGAAGTATGGTTTACACCCTTTTAGTCTTGCTCTCCAATGGACGGGAAGTTGCTGCTGTTCAGGACATCGCTGACACCCTTGGGGACTGCTTTTCACATCTTTCCAGCACTTCTGTCTCTTCTCTTGTCTTCTTGGCCATCAAGTCATGGGCTGAGCAATTGTCATTTTCTTTTAAGGCAGATCATCTCTACATCTATAATCCTCCATTTATGCTGGTGGAACCTAAACTTGCTCATCATGGGTCTGGCAGTACATAGGTTGGACCTGATGATATTCATTATGAGATACTGTACCATCTCGCTCTTGGCTTTCTTCTTCTGGTTGTTTTTAACTGGATTTGGCAAGATAATGTTTTCCCAGATGCTTAGCACAAGAGTATTGTCATCCCTTTTTTTCAAAGCCCAGGAAGGATCCCAAGATTCTTTCTAATTATCATCCTATTGCTTTGACTAACTGTCTCTAAGGTTTTAGAGAGGATGGTTAATGCCCATCTTGTTTGGTTCCTTGAATCAAACAACCTCCTCTTGCCCACTTAATATGGGTTTCATTAACAGCTTTTCACTGTGGACCACCTGATTCATCTTGAAACCTCAATCAGGGAAGCCTTCCTCATCTTGTGTCCATTTTCTTTAATCTTGAGAAGGCTTTATGACACTATGTGGAGGTATGGCATTTTTAGGATCTCCATTTCTATGGGTTGATTTGTCCTTTTTTACTTGTCAGGAGCTGTGTCTTGAGTGTCACACTTTTCATTTTCAACCAAACAACCAACTGTTAACTGTTGTATTATATGGTCTTAAATACTGAAAGCTGGTAAAGCAGTGAAACTGATACTACTAAAATTAGTGAGAAGAAAGAAAAGTATCCAGTATTAAGTATGTTGTAAGTATGAATTAAGTATGTAAGTATCTAGTTTGTTTCAGCATTACAAGTGCAACTTTTGCAACACCTAGGAATAGGTGAGGAATTGAAGTGAGGTTATACAAGGAAGTTGGACTCCTTCTGAAAGGTTTAATGAAACTTAATGTTGCTTATTCATTAACACAAAACTCTTACCAAAACTTCATTTTTTTGTAATACCCAACTTGAATGTAATTTTTTACTACTTGCAAACTTAACAGGATGATTTAGTGATGTTTTTAAAACCTTTGATACTCTTAAGTTATATACAAGCTTTCATTAGACAAAATGTTTTTTTTTCCCTAAATTATAGAGACACTTCTAGCTTACGATTTGACCCGAGTAGAGAGGATTCTGCTAAGTTTGAACTGAAGTTTGAAAAGAAAGACACCAAAAAGAAAAAGTAAGTGTATTAATATATTTATCGTTATGATACTTAGATATCTCTACAACTAAGTATACATTTTTATCCACAAATAGATTTTGGCAGTGAGCTTTAGAATTTCATTTGCGTGCAGTTGATAAAGTTGTGTTTCAAATTCTTTGGGTGATTTTATAATTTTCCAGATCGAAAGAAGCTCTTGAGGAAGAAATGTCTGGCAATCCTCTCCCAGAAGTTTCGAGGGAAAAATTTTATCAGGTTCAACCTGATCTTAAATTTGGAGAACACAGTTATGAAAAAGAAACTGAAGGTTTCAGTGTCTTAAAGGCTCTAGGTAGAACTTGTAACGTATCTGATAACGAAGGTGAGGAGAAATAAAATTGAATTATGTATCATAAGAATAATAATAAAAGTGTCTGATGATAAATAAAAGAAGTTTTAAGTGATTTAGCAATATGATAGTAATTTTATAAATTTTATTTCAATTTAGTATGGGAACTTTGTAGTAACAGGGTTCATTCTCTCACAGTCTACTTAGAATAGTTCTTTTGGTTTCTACTGTTTGTTGTAAGGTGGTAATGTTACCAGAGATCCTGGTATATGCTAGTGGTGGTACTAGGGGTATTGTTCTGTTTTGATTGATGATAACTGATGCTCTGCTGTTACAAGGTTTTCTCTGTGTTGCTCTCGGAATCAAGGGTTCTGCACTCTTCAGCTGTGTGACAGTGAAAGCAAGGTCAGCTTCTACCGACAATTCCTTTTGTGAAAATAAAACCAGGACCTTGCTCTCACCAGCTGTGCGGATGATGGTGGATATATGAGGGGAGGGGGTAATATTATGTTTTGGTATAGGGACTACTGGCATTACTATGCTTATTACAAAATTAAGTATACAATTTAAGAATGGGTTTAAATGACTGAGGTGTTTTTTTAAATTTTTTAACATTTGTGTTTGAGTTATATTTATATGAGTATAAAAACTCTTATATTCATCTAGCTAATGTTAGTACTTTATGCTGTTATTTGAATAAAATATTTAATTTTAAATGGGAATAAATATGAACTTCTAATCTAGTAGATGACCACGCACAAGGAATGAGTTTCCAAGTGTCATCCATTCCAAATGTAAGTAATTCCTCCTTCAGTCCGTGGGAAAAAAATCCTTTCAAGTATGACAGCAGTGATGACGAGATCAGTGAGAAAAGAACAAAACAGAAATAGTATGTTTGTTTAAATTATTGTAAAATGTATAGTTTAGACATAAATAATTATTATCATATTCACTGTTTGCAGATTATTTTTTAAATTCATGCAAAAAAGTGCATTGTAAAGGTGAATTTTGTATAAGACAAAATCTATTAATGTGTTTATTTATAAACTTACCTTACTTCTTAAAGATATATATATATATATTCATTAAACTTTGGAGTATGTAGTTTATGAAACTTGCTTTTTACTGTCACTAATTACATTTATAATTTTTTAGGCCAGTCACATGAATATGTTGGTGTAAATTTTATGTACACAAATGATGAAGTAGGAATTTTATTTTTAATAAAATGGTTGATTGAGTAGTTAATGCATACACAATGTAAACATTTGATTTTGACAATATGTAGTAAAGATCTATTATTGGTTTTTGCATTTTGCAGTTATAGCAGTTCCACTCCTTATCTGGTTTCCAGTTTAATTGTTGTCACAAAGTTGTTCAGTTGATATTCTTGTTTTTGATATTGTTGTTTTTCAACAAATGAATAAAAAGATGCTTTCAGAGAAACAAACCAAATGTGTGTATGTGTATATATATATATATATATATATATGATAGCTTATTTAAATTAATAATTTAGTGTTAGATATATATTTATTTTCTTCTTTTTCTTATTAAGGAATGATAATGAGATTTTACTAATATCTTTGCTCTGTTAAGAATAAATCTACAAGGAATTGCATAAAGATTATTTTCAAACTTTGACACATTAAGTAAGTGTATGTGTTTGTAGTGCTTACTATTGTAGAGTTTGAATTAAATTCTAATAACATAAAGTTAGAACTTTAGCACTTTTCTGTTTTTAATTATGAAAATGTTTTTATTTTTATTGCAGCCATATGTCATCAACACCGGCACCATTTGATGAGAAACATCAAAGAACTAAGAATAATTTGTTCTTTTTCCAGGCCAACGATCCTCGTCTCCAAGGTGAGTGATTACCATAGGTAGGTGATGCTAAAGAAATTTGTTGTGAGTTCAGAGTAACAGAACTAGGAGTGTTTTTTTTTTGTTTTTATTTTGTGTTTCATGTAACATTCAATTTCAGAAACTTAATTTTAAAGGACAACAAAGAATTAATTCATTATGTTTTTTTTAACTAGCTATGATTTATAATAATTATAAAACTTGTGCTGAAGAAAATATTTGAGTTACAAACATTCCTAAAATTGTCTAATGGGTTGTTTCATCTGAATAAACGTTTTGGGAAAATATAACCATGGATGCAAACAAATATTCTTAAAAATATTTATTATATTGTAAAAATATTTTACAAATCTTTGTTAATTTTAATTTTTCTTGAAGAAATTGCATTAATACAAATGACAATAATGAAAATAAATGGTGGACGTAATGACAAGGACGAGCATTTGTGTATGAGTGAACATGTGCTGAGACAACACACTTTAACTTTTAACTCTTTCACAGCCAATTAGAGCACTGACTTAGGAGTTTTGAATTTTGTATCATCACGAAGAAATGGCATTCCCATTCAAACTTCCCAGATTTAATCACTTTTAAAATTTCAGATAAATAATGAAATATTAAAAGTATCTTCTTCTGTGTGTTTTATTGTATATCTAAAACTGAAGCTAACACTTGGAGAATTGCTTATCTATAAAGGTGGCAGTGAAAGAGGTAATAGGTCCATGGAAAAAAAAGTCAATGTTGCTGATAGGAAGTATTTGAACTTGCACATGTTTATGATAATATTTTTTGTCAAGTAGTAATTTGGGATAAATATAAACTATTTTTATTCCTCTTTCGCCATATTGAGGTTATTGAGGGTTATTATGGTTACGGGTATTTCACTTTCTAGGTACATTAGGTTTTGATAGACAACTAGAGATTTTAAAAATCAACAGATATTTTAATTTCTGGGAAGCGGTTATATTTTGTCCACAACTCATGTTTGCTGTTGATTTATTAAGGATATATTGTCCAAATTATATCTAAAATCTCGTGTAAAGCATGCTTATAGCATAATATTTATTTTTAGATACATAAACTTGTTTTGTATCATTTCAGCCATAACTTTGTCATAGAAATATTAGTGATTTGGAAGAAAAAAAATTACATTTTATTATTGTAAAAGTCTTATTCTTTTCTATTTCTAAAACATCTAGTTATTGCAATTTCAAAATCTACAAATGACATTAAATACCTTTAGTTTCAAAAATAAAATATAAAAATGTTGCATGTTTTTGCAGTCCTCACCCCAAAATTAAGGTAGGCTATCTTCTACTAAGTTTTTAGTACATATATATAATGAATTTGTTTAGATTTTCTACTGTAGAGGAGAAGTCATTTTGAAATTATTTGGATTTGCTAGATGAATAATATGGTATTGATTTGTGCTAAGGACTATGGTTGCGGGCACTCCAGGGTATTTAAATAAGTTGACTCTCACTCCAAAATTGCCTTTTTATAATGCTTTCTAAAGTCTCACCATTTTAAGTAATGTTCCAACAAAATTGAATGTCTTTCAATCCAATGTTTGAAAATATTTTAAAAGTAAGATTGAAAAGCTCTAAATTTGATAAAATACTTACAATATTAATACATACCTTTATTAATCTGTGATGTTGCATCTGTTATAAGACAAATATCTTCTATACTATTATTCTGCTTGTTTGTATATACGACCGTTATGCTTTCTGACTGAGAACCTGCTACATAAGCATGCATAGTTAGAATGTTTCCCAAAAAAAAATCGCGCATGCGCATTATTCACTCAACGACAAACAGTCTACCTGCGGGAGAGAGCTGCAAAGCTCATTGATCAAGTCGCTACAATTACTGTATGGAACAAGAAGTAACAACAAAAGGGGAATGTAAATATACTTTACTAACCATTTTGTTCAACAGAATATTAAAAACTTATAACATAATTTTATTTATTGATAGTATTAAGTACAGTAAAGTTTAGTCCTAACTAAACTAAAGTAAAAAAAAACGTACACAGGTTACAGTGTTAATTCATCTCTTTATCGAACTTATGCCTAACATAAGTTAAAGTTTTATAAAGTACGGCCTATATACAAGTCGATTTGCACATTTCGTTGTCTACGATTACAATTCGTTTTTATTGTGCTAGAAATGTTATATTTAAAGAAGTACTGTTACGATAAAGATACTAATTTGGCTGGAAATGTTTTGCAGGTCTCTGCTAGTAAAGATTATTCAGTTTTAATAATCTTAATGTCGAGAAGTCCACAAAACTGTTTTCATTAATAATGGGTATATTGAATGAGGAATAATTAATAGCACTATATACTTTTTCAGTTTCAGTGAAGTAATTCAAATGTTTATTCATGTTAATTCTTAATTCTAGAAACCTTCAGCATATGGCTTTGATTTATTTTTTCTATTTATAAAATATATATCTTATTTAAGAAATTCTGATGTAAAACATGAATTAACAGATTAAATCAGGTATTTGAGATTATTTGGTGGTTAGGCAAAATACTATTCAACATTTATCAGTTGATAATATAATTGTATATAACAAAGAAATAAAACTGGTACTAATAATATTAAATGATTCACTGTCTTATTTGTAGTGTGGTATATGTTAACTACTTTTGGCATTTGTAAGTAACAGAGAATACTGTCATGTGGAAGACTATGTAAGATAACAGTTTTCTTTTTGAAATGTTTGGACAGAAAACTTGTAAGTTAAAAATTGTATCTCAGAACAAATGCTGTAGACATATCAAGAAATGGCAACAACTACAAATATCTATGGTCAATGTTTACTTGTATTAATTGTCATCCCAAATAATTTAATATATTTATTCCAAATGAACTAATATTTCTGATTTTACATTTTTAACTTTTTATTATAGTGAGGCTGGACTATGCAACTGAGGGTTCATGTGTGTGTTCCATTGCTGCAATGTTTTCCTCTACACTTTTTGGCTATGGGTTCATTTAAAGAGTCACAGTGAAATCCCACTATTTGATTAGATTAACCCAAGAGTTGGCAGTGAATGCTTATGCCCTCACTCTAGATCATCTCAAAATTAGGCTCAGCTTGTACAGATAGTCTTTGTGTAGCTTTTCACGAATATTCAAAACAAAAAATAAATACTTTTTTATGGTTTTTACAAAAGAAAAATGGAACATGAAGATTTTGTACGTTATAAACACATACATTTTTGTTTAATATATAAAATACTACAATCATTTGACAATTTTCAAATATGTGCACGAGTTTCGAGCTAGTCTGTTTTTGTTACATGATTAAAGTTTGAAGCACAATAAACAGAGGAAAGGTGTAAAAAGCAAATATAATATTTCAGCCTAAAAACGTTCTCAAAATTTTATTTAACAGAAGGAGTGGAGTTCTTCCGGCGGACAGAAGACACGAATGTATTACATAAAAGGTGGATGGAGAATAGGTCAAAATTACTGGAGGTTTGGAAACTTTTTCTTAGATTCAGAACCAAACATAAATTTCTATGGATATTTGGAATGCCCATGCAAAACTTTCAAGTTTATAAGTACTTAATTCTTATAAATGTATATAATATATTGTTTTATTAATAACCTTAATGACATAGCTTGATTCTAATAATTTCATTTTAGTCATTAATTTTTGTGAATTAAAAATTCTAATTAAAAATATGTTATTATCATTATCAACATCTTTTTTTTTTTTTTGCTAGTGTCTGTTTTGTACATTTTTTTCACAAAATAGACACACAATGTTATAAAATTAATTTAGGGTTTTATGTGGAGCATTATTTTTCTTATTTAAATTTATGTAACAATTATGTTAGAGCAGCTTTTTTTATTTAATTTTAAGAGTTAAATATTTTTCTTTGAGGACGACAGTAAAATTATTACAAAATAAATATGTGTAATTTATAGTTTTTGAAAACTGAAATTTGATAAAAAAAAATGACTCAAAATGTGTGTAAAGATTACTTTGACATAAAACTTGAGTTTTCTTTCTGGTATGTAAATTCATAGATCTAGATAGTACAGTAAGCTATTGGCCAGCTGAGTACAGTAATCTGCATTACATGCTTCTTTTGTCAATAACAATAGAGCTAAACTGGCACAGAGATCTAGACAGTACAGTAAGCTATTGGCCAGCTGATTATTGACAAAAGAAGCATGTAATGCAGATTACTGTACCCAATAGAGCTAAACTGGCACAGAGATCTAGACAGTACAGTAAGCTATTGGCCAGCTGAGTACAGTAATCTGCATTACATGCTTCTTTTGTCAATAACAATAGAGCTAAACTGGCACAGAGATCTAGACAGTACAGTAAGCTAATTGCCAGCTGT